CGCAATATGTCTAGTATCACTGGACCTATGTTTAAATATAGCAATTAACTATCATCCTGCCATGGCATGTTCCAGACTTTGGTATTTCTATGGTCCATCCCTTCTGATATGTCTTGTGAATAGACATGGTTTTCTTCTTGGATCATTTCAAAGTGATCATCCTCTATTTCTGTTTAGGCAGTAATCTTACCTATTTATAGAGTTATGTATGTATAAGCTACAGTATCTTTGGAAAACATTCCTTTAAGATTCAGACCTCGTGAAGTTTCTTTACTGATAATTACTTGTTAGACTCATTTTAACTCTACTGAACAGAGTAATTATAGCGAAAACAGTCAGGGTCTATAGTGCTGTTTTGCAGGTAGTAGCAGCAAAGAAAGTTAGGATGAAGAACAGTAAAATGACTAAAAAATGTTTTCTCAGAATATCAGCTTGGAGACCCCACAACTGTTGCGTGAATGTATTGGTGTGGTACCGTCATTAAAATGGAAAGGTTTTATAATAGATATTAACTGTGTTGTTTTTTCTTTTAGGCTCCAGGTTATGGAGATGTTAGGTTGTCTTTGGAGGCAATCCCAGATACTGTAAACCTAGAAGAACCTTTTCATATTACCTGTAAAATAACAAACTGCAGGTAATGCCAATGTTTGTGGATGGATGTCTTTTCTTCCTCATCTACCTAAAAGAAAGTTTTAAAATCTTTTAAATAATACTGTCTTCTTTTAAGTTTCCTCTTAATATATAGCCTTCACTGATGTTGATGTTGAACATTGTAAAGTCCTTTATCTGGTAGCTGTATATTACATATTTTTGAGTTCTTACTATATTAGACACTTTCTGTATTTGATTATACTCATGCATCATACCCTATGAGGTAGGTATTATTCACGTTCTATGCAAGAGAAAGCTAACGTAGAGGTTAAGTGACTTATTCAAGGTCAGAGAGCTAGAAAAGATGGAGCCAGAATTTGAAACGAAGTGTATTTGACCTCAAAGCCCATATACTTTTCATTGTTCACACTTCCCTCTTACTTCACATTACTAAAGCATGAACTAGTAGGTTCTTATAGAATAATACATTATAGATTTAATGTAATAAGGTATATTTTTTTGAGCCATGCTATACCTGAGCTGTATCTTTAGTATTAAGAAAGTATAAATTGGTTACGAATTTAATAAAAGGGATAATCATAGATTGGAAAATAGGACTTTGATAATTGAGAGTATTATGTAGCTATTGAGAAGCAAAGAGCACAGGGCTTTGAAGTCAGAAAAACCTAGGGTCAAATCTCAATCCTATCACTTTTGCTACTCCTTCTTTTACTACTTGGTATCTATTATTTGTTGGGGCATTTTGATAATATTGTAATAATGAATCCCAACCCTCATAGTCTGAATGTATAATCCTTTTTAATTCCATATCCATTCCAACCTTACAATATTAGAGGGGGATAGGAAATAGTTATTCTTCAAAATTATAAAAATACCTACTTCCCCTATGAAGCTACCTAGAACCTCCCACACACAGTTAATCACCTTTTTCTCTGTCATAACAAATTTTTTTTAAAATTTATTAGCTTCAATGTATAGTACATTGGTTAGACATTTATATAGTTTATAAAATGATCCCCCTAATTGCTCTTTCTCTTCTCTGGCTCTCTGCCTAGCCATTATATTAATGCTAACTGCATTCCCTATGCTATGCTCCCCATCCCTGTGACCACCTATCAACCACTAATTTGTACTTCTTAAGCCTTTGCCCCATTCTCCTAGCCCCTCGAAACCCTCCCCTCTGTCCGTCACCAGATTGTCCTCTGTATTTGTGAGTCTGATTTGTCTGACTTATTCCACTTAGTATAATAACCTCTAGGTCCATCCATGTCATTGCAAATGGTAGGATTTCATTTTTTTAAAAGCTGCATAATATTCCATTGTATATATGAACCATAACTTCTTTACCCAATCACCTGTCAATGGGCATTTAGGTTGCTTCCACATCTTGGCTATTATAAATTGTGCTGCCATGAACATAGGAGTGCATAGATCTTTACGAATTATTGTTTTGGTTTTCTTGGGATAAAAACCCAGAAGTGCAATTGCTGGGTCAAAAGGTAGATCCATTTTTAACTTTTTGAGAACTCACCAGACTTTTTTCCATATTGGCTGTACCAGTTTGCAATTCCACCAACAGTATATGAGGGTTCTCTTTTCTCCACATCCTCACCAACACTTGTTCTTCGATTTATGATGACAGCCATTCTGACAGGTGTGAGGTGATATCTTTTTGTGGTTTTAATTTGCATTTCTCTGATGATTAGTAATCTTGAGCACTTTTTGTATGTCTATTGGCCATCTGTATTTCTTCTTTGGAGAAGTATCTGTTCAGGTCTTCGGCCCATTGTTTAATTGGATTTTTTTGTTGTTGAGTCATAGCAAATTTTAATATAGTTTTTTAGTGACACTCACATATTGCTACGATTATTAGTCCCTTCCTCACTAGATTATGAATTATTCAGGAGAAGGGATCATGTCTTAACCCTGCATTGTAAATACAGTGCCTGCCACATCATAGGAGCTCAGCGAACATCACACACAGGGTAAAGACCCTGTGCGTTTACGGTCTGCTTTTGGATTTTTTTATTTTGAGTTCTCTGAGGTACAACAAATCAGTTATTGACCAAGTGACAAAGTGCTGTAAAAAGTAAATTCAGTTTCTTTTGGTGTTCACTTTTAACTTTTGGTGATTCAAATAAGTTTCTTTTCCAAAAAGCACTTGTTTCTTAGATCTTCAGTTTCCTCATCTATAAAAATGGGATTTACCTCATGTCCCAACACACACACACACATTTAACATACCTACTGGATTTTTGCAAAATGTAATGAGAAAATTCATGTAGTGCATCTAACTTGGTCTGTGCCACATAGTGGGCATTTCAAATTTTTGTTGGGGAGACATAGACATATAATAGCTAAATATCATTAAATCATTATGTCTAAAAATCAATAAATTTAAAGTTAAAATTTAAATAAGTATTTTAACATATGCAGCCAATTCTGAGAGAAAAAAACTAAAAGACTTGAAAGTAGTCCTGAATTGTGGTAGAGTAAGACTATTTTTCATTATGACCTTTGTTGTTTTTTTTTAATAATGCAGATTTACAAGTAAAAGGTTTTTTTAACTTAATATGTTTAAGCCGATATTTTAATTATTAAGGTGATATGAATTATAAGCAGAAGCAAGCTTTTCATGTTAACACAACAAACTGAATAGTATTTACTTCTCATGAACCTTGTCAGTCATTTCCTATGTTATCTGCATGGTAAAGAAACATTAAACAGCAAAAGCTGGACCAGACTTAGTTCATCGTTCTCTTTCCTGTGGAATATCTAACAGAAATAGGAAGAATGCATAGCAACCAGATTAGACACAGATGTCTGGAAGTCTCCCAGAGAAATGGCAAAGCTGTTAACAGATCAGCAGCAGGGAGCCAGTGTTCAGTAATAGAATCAGAAGGCCAACATCCAGACAGGCAAATTAGTCTCAGTGCCACTTTAAACCCTAGGAGATGCCATCTCCTTTTATTCTCCTGATTCTTAAGTGAAATAAAAATATTTTCATTTCTGTTTCTGGCTTCTATTCTTCTGGACACCAAGAAAACAAATTCACTGACAATATTGGAATACTCAGGTACTTCTTTGTGAAAGGAACAAGATTTATTCCTGTTTTTCTGATTCCTCCAGCAGTGAAAGGACTATGGATCTGGTTTTGGAAATGTGCAATACCAATTCCATCCACTGGTGCGGCATTTCAGGACGACAGCTTGGAAAGTTACATCCAAGTTCCTCTCTCTGCCTTGCCCTTACTCTACTGTCTTCAGTACAGGGACTGCAAGTATGCTCTCTTTTTAATAAATTCAGTATTTGGGGGCTATTAACCCATAGTCATGTACTATATCTATATTTTCTCTGGTAATTACCAATGAATGAAAACTTAGGCCTGTATCTTTCTCTCAATAGAGCATCTCCGGCTTAAGACTAACCGACACATTTTTAAAGAGAACATATGAATACGATGACATCGCACAAGTCTGTGTGGTATCTTCGGCAATTAAAGTGGAAAGCTGAAGAATATTTCCAATGTTATGCTGTTCATTAAGTTTCAACTGAACTTTCTGTATTTTTGTTACCTTTGTAAAATGATCAACAGCAAAATAAGTATGTATTATTTAAATTTCCTTCCTGTAAAAGTTAAAATATTAAATATTTGTTTTAAAAAGAACCATCTACTGATTTTATCTTGTGAGTTTTATTCTAAATGAACATTTGCACATTTCATACCCATATTCTATCTTGTTTCATTTAAATGACCATTGGACTTTGTTCTCCAAAAAGCTCTAGAGTTGAGGCCATTTGTCCCTAACCAAGTATCTGGAACAGGGGTCAGCAAAATTTTTATGTAAAGGGCCATATACTAAATATTTTCGGCTTTGCAGGCCATGTAGTTTCTGTTTAAAATACTTCACTCTGCTTTTGTAGTATGAGAGCAGCCAGTAGACAAAAAGAGCACAGTGGCGTTTACAAATCCAGGCGTCTGGTCTGCGGGCCATTGTTTGCTGATCTGATCTAGAAGATACAGTTGTTTCTTAAAACTTTAGAATTCTTATAATACTTTATTTAGAAATGTTTCAATTAACCCCAGATTTTTTTCCTAGTTCCTCAGGCAACAGAAAAAGTTTGTTTAGAACAGCTGGGATAGTCCTCATGTAATCTTATAGTTGCTAACACAATATGTCTAGCTGTTTTCAAAATTATTGTATTGGTATGTGCCTTTGTTTGTGTATACATACAATCCCATACACCTAAGTTTCAATTACAGCAGATCAGAACTGGTTTTTTTTCCTTAGATTGTTGATTACTCTGTTAACTTTTAACAAAGAAGCCTGATAATTTTCTAATTCTACGTCCATTAAAAAAATAAGCCATTTATTTTCATAGGCATATTTGAAGGATTTCTAGCTTCTGGTATTTTATTTTGAACTCTAAATCATGTATTAATATTATTAAACTTTCTATCTCTGCATATAATTACACTAATTTACTTATGCCATGAACAAACAGTGAGAAAATTAAGATTATAAACAACTTTGCAACATGAATGTACTACAAGTTTCAATATTTTGTCAAGAAAACAAAAGGTTATGCTGTTAAATAAAAACTTAATTTGGTAAGTCGGAACTCAAGGGTGTATATACAATTGCTTAAATGTAAGAGTACATTAAGTCTAATACAAAAATTGGTTTTTCTTAAATGCATAATTATTTGCAATGACAAATTGGTCCAAAATGAAAGTCCAAGAAGTGTAAAATATCTGTCTGTCTTCCAAAAAGACTAAGATTAATTAAATGATGAATAAGATTTTATAGCTGCTATTCTGGGTACTTTGTTTTTTAAGCATCTCTTCATGACTGAACCTTCTATTTACTCATTTCCAATTTAAAAAGTAACATATAATGGTCACTTGAAATCTGCTACATAATTTGATTTAATTACAAAGTTTTTATAAGCAATAATCTAGACACATGTTCATTTTTTAAGTAAAGGTTAGATAATGTCATCTTAGAAAGGACCTGTTTAAACCATATTACAAAAATTAGATAAACAATTTGGTACATTAAATGAAAATGTCATTTGCATAAAAAGGACTTTTTAAGTTTAACATAGCATAACAGCTACAACTACTACAATGAAATGTGGTTAGTGGAAGTCAATCATTCCTATGTAAAATGAATATAAAGATTTACTTTAATGCCTTCTTGTTCCAGACAAGCAAGAATACGATTTGGGGCATTCCTTATCATTTTAAGAGTAGCTAGCACAATCCAACTACACAAAACTTTCTTAAAATGCAGTGATTCCAAAGTAATGAATGTACTCGATGAGCAAAAAATGGTTTGAATCCAATGGAAATCCGGGTGAGTGGACAGGTATCATCTAGAATGAATTTGTTATGGGTGGATATATTAGCAAAGAAACAAACTGGAAAGGTAAAAAGGAATAAATACACCAATTCTCATTACTTGTAAAATGAATGGCTACCTTCACAACAGATACTAGCAAATCGAGACATTGTTTTAAAGTGTTTTTTTTCTTATAATGTCTTTGATTTTGGTATTAGAGTAATAAGTATATAAAATGAGTTGGGAAGTGTTTCCTCCTATTTCCTAAAAAAGATTATACAGAATTAATATTATTTTTCCATTAAGTGTTAGGTAGAATTTCCCCATTGAAATCATTTGTGGTTATAGTTTTCTTTTCTGGAGGATATCTATTTCTTCAGTGAGCTCTGGTAGTTGTATCTTACAAGAAATGCCTATTTCCTCAATGAGTTTTGTTTCATCAAGTTGTTAAATATATGGACCTAGAGTTGGTTGTAGTATTTTCTAAAGATCCTTTTAATATCTACAGTGTCTGCAATGGTATCTCCTCTTTCTCTTCTGATACGGTTGATTTATATTTTCTCTATTTTCCTAGTCAGTGAGTTAGAGGCTTACCAGTTTTATCAATCTGAAAACATTTTTAATGCATTCAAGATAGTTATGGTAGAAACTTTCTTATTCAACATTGGATAAGAATGACTATTTTTTAATTAAGGATTAACTTCATTTTTTCATCATAATCACCACTTTCGTGTAATTAGTTAGTACTTCATTCTATATAAAACTTGAACACTATGAGCTGAATTTAATTTATGAAAAATTAAGTTGGTTTAGGTGAAATACAAGAGATTTAATTCAGAGGGCCTAAAATTTAAGTCCTGCTCTTCTCTGGCCAGAACTATAGGTTCATAGAGGTCTTTGTTGTAGCCTGAGCCCAGGCAGATTAGGTATTTTCTGGTCTTACTGAGGAGAAATCTCTAAGCTAGTGCTGCTCTAAATTAGAGTCCTTGAATCTATATGAGAACCACATGGTGTACTCTTTAAATGGCAATTCCTTATTATAGGACCTACTAAATAAAAATTGAAAGTATGGTCCTGAATCTGCATTTTTAACAAATTCTCCAGGTGATTCTTACAATGAAATTATAGAACCATTGGTCTAATCTCACAAAGGGAAAGAAAGGAAAAGTTGCTTTTTAAACATCAAGATAACAATCTTTTGAGAATAGTTATAGTAAGGCCCTAATCATCAGTATTACTAATTTAATATTACTTTATTTTTCAGTTTTCTCTCACACTTGTGAAATCTTGCATGTCTGCCTAACTTAACAAATTATATAATTCACAAACAAAAGTAATTCCAGTTGGAATTAGAACGGTCTCATCCATCACTCTAGAGCCATGCCATTAATACCTAACAATGCCACTTCTCTTCACCAACTAACATATATTTTAATCTCAATATATAATATTTTAAGCCCCCATTATGTTTAGGTTGCATCAAATTAAGGTTAAGCATAAAAGCAACATGCCAAACCAAATTATAGCAGAGGATTACATGAACAAGCATTGTTAGTGATAGATGCTTTTTGTAATCCATAAATAATTACTGAGTTTAAAAAAAAAAAGTGTTTATGGGTACATAATTAAACACCACTTAGAAAATCCTTAAGTCAAGAGCCAAGTCATAGGCTTACTTAAATATATATATATTTGAGAGTTTCCATGGTAAGGTCACCACTGGAAAAATTGTGCTAGTTAAACCGAATAGTTACACAACTGACCTAGCAGTACCATTAAGGATTTCTAAATGTATTTTATTCTGCATTTAGCATAATTGGCCATGCTAATGTTATCAATACAAAACTGCAGGCAAGATAAGTTAAGAACTATGCAGAAAACCTGAGCATCCTACCTACCTTCAATTTTTACACAGTCACAGCATCTATTTATTCTTTTCAAAACAGCCCTTCCACCAAATGCTGCTTTCCACCAGATCCTAGGATTCCCTGTCACACATCAGAACAAGCAGCATTACTGATAGTACTGGCCTCTATGATATCTATTCATTACTGATAGCATTATTGAAGCTAAACCTAGATAACAAATTTCTCTCCAGCCATTCTGGCAAGTACATTTCTTCTAACCCAGCATGAGAAACCTTTCCTCTTAGTCATCCTCCCCTTTCAAAAGTCTGCTTAAGGGAATTCGGAGCTAGAGAACTCACCAACTAACGGCCTTACTGTTCAATATACCCTGCTATTAAGTCTAATGTACAAACATGATGATGATTTGAAAATGGTACCCTGTCCAGTGTGTACTGGCACTTAACAAGGCTACTGATCATTCATTTACAAAGGTGTTATATTATGTTCAAGTCTGTGATAAACTTATTGTCTAGACAGATTTATTCTTTAGGTTTTTTGTTTTTGTTTTTTGGCCACTATCTATAGCAAACGCTTCAGAGCCATAACCATTTGCATTCTGGGCTAGGGTCCTCGGTCAAGTCAGGAATGGTCTTCGGTGCTGCTGCTGAATGATCTGCTCCGGATGTGATTTCTCAGTTGTTCTATAAGTTCAGGATTCTGTTGCTGTATCTGCTGAGCAAACTGTTGTCCCCTGTAAGTAAAGAGGCAAAGTGGCATGAATTAGGGAATTCCCAGCCACACCATACTCATGCAAAAAGAACTGCAATGGATGTGGGTACTACCTAAGGGGAACTTCTATAAAAACAAGTTTTAGCATCACAACTTTAGTATCTGTAAGTTTACCAGTGCCCCTATATAGCATTGTTACAGGGCATTGCTCTTTTTAAGAAATGAAACACCCAAGCTAAAGAGTGAGTTCTTGAATTGGGTGAAATCCACTCCCTCTAGTGCTTAACTATGAATAAACAAAGGGCTAAAAAATATATATGCTTTTATTGTGTGTGCTCAAACATAATGCAAGGTATTTGCTCTTATAGTTAAGACTTAATAGTCTCTCAGATGACACGTGTCACACTCATTTTGGGATATGTACATAAGTCATGAACAGAACTGATTTCTAAAAAGGTAAAGATATTTAATATAAATTCCTTATGTGTGCTTTCTCAGTTGCAAGTGTTAGACATCGCTATAATCATGCCACTTAAATTTATCACTCTAAAAATGCAATATTGCAAATGAGGTAACATGGTCGTGACCACAAAGAACAAATGGTACTTGTGGCTTCATATAAAATTTTCAGTGACAGCATCACAGACAGATTCAAAAAGCAACCAAGCTCTCTTTCCTCTCGATCATGGACAGGCCATCCAAACTGAGGAAGACTCAGAAACTTCGGGGCCATGTGAGCCACGGCCAGGGCCGCATCAGCAAGCACCGGAACCCCCCGGGAGGCCGAGGTAATGCTGTGGCACACATCACTGCAGGTCCAACTTCGACAGATATCGCCCAGGTTACTTTGGGAAAGCTGGTGTGAGGCATTACCACTTAAGGTAGGACCAGAGCTTCTGCCCAACTGTCACCCTTGATAAACTGTGGACCTTGGTCAGTGAGCAGACAGGCGTAAATGTTGCCAAAAATAAGACCAAAGCTGCTCCTATCATTGATGAGGTGCGATCTGGCTACTACAAAGTTTTGGTGAAGGGAAAGCTCCCAAAGCAGCCTGTCATAGAGAAGGCCAAATTCCTCAGTAGAAGAGCTGAGGAGATTAAGGGTGTGTGTGTATGGAAGAGGTGGGCTTTGTCCTAGTAGCTTGAAACCACATGGAGGGACGTTCATTAAATGCTCACATTTAATGAACTTAATGTGTTAAAAAAAAAAAAAAAATTCAAAAAGCAGTGTATCTGAAGCAACTTAGATGAAAGTGAAGGTAATGAGAAGATACAAGGAATTCTTTTAGTGATAACATGCACTGAAAAAGTCTGAATAAAATAGTTTCCTAAATTGAACATTAATACATCTAACAATTTTTAAATATACATGTACTTAATGCATACTTTAAGTAGCTATTTGACCTTCATCTCAATCCTTGAGTATCTATTCAAATCTGTCAAAGAACTTTTTCTTGGATCCAAATCTTCTATATTCTTGCCCTTCAGTCTGAAAATCATAACTTATAAACTTCTTTTACATTTAATAACTAGTGAGGCCACTGATACTAACAGTAAAAGATAAAAGTTAAAAAAGAACGCCCTGGTCCCTTCACCTTAGAGACAGTGTAAAACATAAAATACTTTTATACTATTTCTATTTTAAGTAACACTTACGCTTGGATAAGGCTAGACAGGTCAGTTAAGCCCCCAACTCCAGCAGCAGGTCCCCCAATGGCATTTGTCATCATTCCTGACATTCTAGAATAGGCAAGAGATATATCACTGGATTGGCAAATATTCTTAACAAGTAAGAAACTAGCCAAGGACAAGTCAGTTAAATATACCTACATTGTGTAGAAGGTCAAGCCAAATGTGTGTGGCTTTAAGTTTCAATTGACTGGCATTCAAGGCAGTTTTATCATTTTGGAGAAGATGTGCTTAACTTAGGAGCTTGGCAAGTGGAAGGGGGAAAATGTAATACTCTCTTTCTATATACTTACAGCTGTTGAACTTGAGGATTCTGCATTAAACTTGCTGCCTGGAATTGAAAAATGGCATCTCTCATTAAAGGTAGTTAATATTTAGGGAACTTGAATAAAGATTTTTTTAAAAAACAAGAATGAAAGCTAAGCCATGTATGTACTAACATTTGAAGAGTTTAAGTGTGCTATACAAAGTCATTGGGAATATAAAAATGATATTAGAAAAAATGGCATTTAAAATACATTGCGTCTACGGCCATACCACCCTGAACACGCCCAATCCTGTCTGATCTCGGAAGTTAAGCAGGGTTGGGCCTGATTAGTACTTGGATGGGAGATCACCTAGGAAGACCAGGAGGCAAAAAAAAAAAAAAAAAAAATACATTGCAAGGACAGAGAGGCTACAAGTAACACTATAAACTAAAGATATTGACAGCAGTATACTGATTACTACTGATAAGATAAATAAAGCCAAAAGGAGAAAGAGAAACTTTGAGTATAATTAAAGAATCCCCTACACTTGAGAGAGTCCACTTCAAAAGAGTACTACCGTAAGAGATGTGATCCTGCCCCATGAGGCTTAGTTTCAATCCTTCCCATAATTAAGAGGAAAGGAAATTGTATTTATATGCACATAAACTTTTGAAACTTTCCATTTTGAAAGCATAAACAATTTTTTTTTGCCTCAAATTGGTAGTCGACAATATCACATAAAATTTATATTTAGTTTAAATCTTTGTAGACAGTAGTAACTCCAATAGCTGTCTCCAAAAATCCTCTTTTAATCTCTGTCAACTTGACTCTATTTTTTTTAAGTTACACAATATTTTTTAACCCCTGCCTTTTGCAGCTCATAGATGGTAGTCTTACACCTTACTTTGTATCTTGAGGGCTAAGCTGAATCAGAAACTAGAAGAAATCTAATTTTTACATCCTGCTACAATAAGAGCACAACCTGAGGCCTGGAAATGAGCAACAATGTTCAAAAATGTCATAAAACCTACAGAGAGACATATATTTGTTGGTGTTTAGGTAGAAAGACCAACTTTGATTGACCTCAATACTAAGACTCAAGGAGAGTTACTGAATTACTTGCAAGTTAGTCAAATGATTGTTTCTCTGGTAATAAAAACAAGTGGTAGCTTTTTCAACACCCCATTTAGGGTCAGTGATTCAAAAATTAACTACTACTACAAAAACTTCAACTAACATTTTTAAACTACCAATTGCTACAATTCTGCCGATTGTTCAAAAGACTTCTTTATCTTACTAGGAATGAGCCATCTGTACATTTCAATTCAACTGAAGATTTAGTGGATGCCAGACATTTTTTAAGGAAGCAAAGATGAATAAGAAGCAGGACCGCACTCAGCCAGAGGTATAAAGTCACCCAAGGAGCTTTATATGCCCAGGAAACATCCCTGACCTATTAGATCAGAGTTTCCACATACTGGAAGAGAGCATGTGTGTTTTCAAAAAGACCTATAAGTGAATTTGTTGTTCTGAAGGATGAAGTACATATATATAAGAATTACACTAAAAGTTCAAATAAACTCAAGATAGAAAGGAAGCAGACAGTGCTGAGAGGAGAGCTTAGAGAACCACGATAGCCCAAATCCTCAGATCTCAATTATTAGACATTTTCCTAGGGCCATTTTCAAAGTAAGAGAGTGGTTTCTAACCTCTTGTAGATTTGCAGACCCCTATGCCAATCTGACAAAAATATAGTTCTCTCCCTAGAAATATGCACATATTGACAGGTACACAAATTTTTACATGTAATTTCAGGGAATCCACGGGCTTCTTGAAGTCCATCCATGGCTTTCTCACAAACAGGTATATGGGCAGGTTAAAAACCTTAGCTATGACATTACGTCACCACTCTGTTACCACCACCACAAAATCTCCCTTAGTTATTTCTAAAAAGTTTTGGAATTATATAGCTTTATGGAAAAAAGAGCAGAAAAGGAAATGTACTCACCATACTAATGAAGGCCGGATTATTTATTAAACTAGCCATGTCAAAGCTCAATCCAGTTCCTGTCTGTAAAACAATTATATCTGATCATTATTCTAACCACTACAATTTTATTACAATAAATTGTGAATAACAAAATATTTCACTCATTTGGCATTAATGACTTACAGGACTGGATACTTCTCTTAACTTCTGTTCTGCTATTTTCAGATTTGACTTATAGGAATCATTTTCAGGGTCAAGATCTAATGCCTTTTGATAACTTGTAACTGCTTCTTCAAATTTATTCATGGCAGTGAGGGCCAGCCTGAAAAGAATATAAGAGTATAAGATATATGATTGAAGAATATCAGGACATCATAAATGTAGTCAAACATCTGTACTGGTATTCAATTCAAGTCCAGATTATACCTAATTTATTCATTATACTGTGATTCACAGAAATAGCACTAAAATTCCTTCTAATTCCAAGATTCTGTTAAGTCTGAACTCTTTCTATCCTGCTTGCTGACAACCTTGACTTGTCTTACATTAACCATATACTTAATGCTTAGAAATAAACCTTACCTACCCTTCCATTTTTAAGCCAAATATGTGAAGTAATTTGCTTTATGAATAACTAAGCTCTACAAAGATATGAGCCGACCAACAATCTTGTGGTCATATACCTCTATGATGCTAAAACCATTTTAAAGACTCTGAACTAGATTTGTGCTTTACAACGTCACACTTTCTTCCTACTTCCTACAGAGACGTAAGTCACAATATCAATGTACCATAAAAATAAAAGTGATTGTGGGGTATCAGCTGACTGGGGTATCACATGAATAAGACGTGTTAGTTGTTAAATAGGTACAAATAGCTTCCTTTACAACTTAAATAACGCATTATCTCAGTCTAGAATGAGTTATTAAATTTTTTATGTTTTCCTCTACCTAGTTAGAATTTATTTATTGGAAAATTACTTAAGAACTAAACGATAATGGTATATATGGAGAGATAGTATTGAGGTTTTTTTATTTGCTCTAGGTTTGTTTTTAACAAATTACTCCAATTCTTTCTTGGTTGACTTACCTCACATCTCAATAAAATATAGTACCTAACTACAGAAAAATTTCCAGACCCTAATTTGTTTTCTACTAGTCAACCATGAAAGATATTTCAATCAGAGTCCTCAATTAAATATTTATTGAAACCTTATTGTGCACCAGGCACTATTTTAGATTCCCCAAGGAAAAAGGTAAAGTTCTTGAGTTGAAGAGAATGTCATTCTACCCCGCAAAGACAAGCAATAAATATGCAAATAAAAGAGTAATGTTAAAGAGAATGAATAGGGGAGCTGCTCAAAGGCAACACATTGAAAAGACCTGAAAGATGAGAAGAAACAGTCATATGAAAATCAGGGCAGGAGCATTCTAAATAGAAACAGCAGTAAGCACAAAGCCCCTGAGAATGATGCAAAGTTGGTATGCTTAAGGAACAGGACAAAGGATGAGGAGGAGGGAGCACAGAAAATAAAGTATGGAAAGAGACTACAACAGGGAGTAATCAGATGCCAGATTATATAGGACCATGGTTTGGAGTCTGGATTTTATTCTGGTTGCAATGGGGTGACAAGATCCAATTTATCATTTACAAAGCTCTCTTTAGCTTCTCTGCAGAGGATGGAGATGGGGGGGGGGGGGGGCAGCAGGAGTGGAGGACCGGTTAGGAAGTTATTATAGTATAGCCTAGGTAAGAGTTACTAATTTGGACTAGGGTTATAAACCAGATAGCAATCAGTGCTTGAATTCAAAATATAAGTAGAAACTTTTATCTTGACAGGACTTGCTGATAGATTAGATGTGTCAGGTATAATACCGAAGGACTTTTTTTTTTCATTTTTAAAAATTTATTTAAATTAGTTTCAAGTATACAGTACATTGGTTAGACATCTATATAGTTCATAAAATGATCCCCCCAGTTGCTCCCTCCCTCCCCTGGCCCTCCACCTAGCCATCATACTAATGCTAACTGCATTCCCTCCTCTGCCCTGCTCCCCATCCCTGTGACCAACTATCAACTACTAATTGTACTTCTTTAACTGAATGAAAGATGTTTTAACTTGAACACTGGCAGGTGAATGATAGTAACATTTACTGAGATGGGAAAGATTTAAGAAGGGAATGAAAGTACTGTTTGGGACATGTTAAGTTTAAAATATCTATTAAATATATAAATGGAAATAAAAAGTCGAATATGAGTATGGCATTCAGACATATAACTTAAGACATATAGTAACTTAAGAGATCTATCAACATAACAATTGATTCTCATTATTCAGAGTAGTTATGTTCTATAAAGCCACTGTAAATACTAATTAAGCAAATGCTAAACAATTGCTCCCAGGGGAAATATAAGGTTAGGTTCCCATGAGGCTCTGATCACATTTGTCAACCAATCAATACATAACCTTGTTTTATGTGTTTCTGCTTAAAGAAACCTTATTTAATACATAGTATTGATTCATTAGCATTGAACTCACAGCCAACAGCACTTACTCATGCCTGAACAAAACATCTAATGTGTATTTTTTCATAAAGCGCATTATAGCCTTCTTGCACTTAAGAACACTGGAAATAGTTCATTCTACTTTTGGGTCCATTGTAAACAGGGGAAAGGCCACAAAAATGCATATATATAATATGCATATGCACATATATGTAAAATTCATATATATATATGGCACTAAATAAACTGCAAAAATGACACTCGTTTCAGCATGAGAGCTGAAACAAAAAGGCAGGGCATCACCTTAGACTTCAGCCAAAGTCTTACACATCGAGTGACTCAAATTTTTCACTACACTGTGAATGAACACAAAAGCACAGCGAATATTGATTTGGGGGTTAAAAAAAAATTTTAGCAAGTAAGTGAATTCATAAATACAGAATCCATGAATAAAGAGTATCGGCTATAAATGGAATTTATTTTTTAAGCATTTTATTTTATTAGTTTCAAGTATACAATACATTGGTTAGACATTTATATACTTTGTGAAATAATCCCCCTGATTTCTCTATCACCCCTCTGGCTCTACAGATAGCCATTACATTACTGCTGACTACATTCCCAATGCCCGCACACCCCATCCCTATGACCATCTCTGAACTACTAATTTGTACTTCTTTAACCCTTCGCCCCTTTCTTTCAGCCCCTCAATCTCCCACCCCTCTGACCATCACCAGATTGTCCTCTATATTTGTGAGTGCGTTTTTGATTACTTTGTTCTTTTTGTTCCTTAGATTCTGCATATAAGTGAAATCATATGGTATTTATCTTTCTCTTTCTGATTTATTTCATTCAGCATAATAACCTCTAGATCCATCCATGTCATTGTGAATGGTAGGATTTCATTTTTTATGTCTGAGTAATAGTCCATTGTATATATAAACCATAACTTCTTTATCCAATCATCTGTTGATGGGCATTTAGGTTGTTTCCATGTCTTGGCTATTGTTAATAGTGCTGCTGTGAACAGAGGGGTGCATAGACCTTTAAAAATTAGCGTTTTGGTTATCTTTGGGTAAACACCTAGAAGTGCAATTGCTGGGTCAAAAGGTAGACCCATTTTTAATTTTTTGAAGAAGCTCAGTCTGTTTTCCATAGTAACTGTGCCAATTTGCAATCCCACCAACAGTGTACAGGGGTTCCTTTTTCTCTGCATCCTTGCCAACACTTGTTTTTTGATTTATTGATGATAGCCATTCTGACATGTATGAGGTGATATCTCATTGTGGTTTTAATTTGTATTTCTCTGATGATTAGTGATGTTGAGCATCTTTTTATACGTCTATTGGCCATCTGTTTTTCTTCTTTGAAGAAATATCTATTAAGGTCTTCTGCCCATTTTTTAATTGGATTGTTTGTTTATTTGTCGTTGAGTTGTATGAGTTATTTATATATTTTGGATATTAACCCCTTATCAGATATATCATAAGAGAATATCTTCCTTTTCTCATTCAGTAGGTTGTCTTTTCATTTCGTTGATGTTTTCCTTTGCTGTACAAAAATTTTTTAGTTTGATGTAGACCCATTTATTTTTTCTCATTTTTCCTTTGCCTGAGGAGATATATCCAAAAAGAAGTTACTAGTAGCAATATCGGAGAATTTACTGCCTATGTCTTCTTCTAGAAGTTTTACAGTTTCAGGTCTTATATTTAAGTCTTTAATACATTTTGAGTCTTTCTTGTATATGGTATAAAAAGGTAGTCCAGTTTCATTTTTTGCATGCGTCTGTCCAGTTTTCCCAACAGCATTTATTTAAGAAACTGTCTTTACCCATTGTTTATTCTTGCCTCCTTTGTCATTTAATATATGATGTATGTGGATTTATTTCTGGGCTCTCTATTCTGGTCCATTGATCAATGTATCTGTTTTTATGCTTGTATCATGCTGTTTTAATTAGTGTAGACTTATAGTATACTTTGATATCAGGTAGTTTGATACTTCCAACTTTATTCTTCTTTCTCAAGATTGTGTGGCTATTTAGGATCTCTTATGGTTACATAAAAATTTTTGGATTCTTTGTTCTAGTTCTCTGAATAATGCCATTGGTATTTTGATAGGGATTGCATTGAATCTATAGATTGCTTTGGGTAGAATGACTATTTTAAAGATGTTCATTCTTCCTACCCATGAGTATGATATATGCTTCCATTTATTTGTATCTTCTTCAATTTCTTTTTTCAATGACTTATTATTTTCTAAGAACAGATCTTTCATCTCCTTGGTTAATTTGATTCCTAGGTATTTTATTGTCTTTGATGCAATCATAAATGGGATTATTTTCTTAATTTCTCTTTATGAAAGTTCATCATTGGTATATAAAAATACAACTGATTTGTGAATATTAATTTTGTGTCCTGCTACTTTACTGAATTCATTGATCAGTTCTAAAAGAATCTTTAGGGTTCTCTATATATAGTGTCATGTCATCTGCAAATAAGGACGGTTTTGCTTCTTCCTTTCCAATTGGGATACCTTTTATTTTCGGCTATAGATGGAATTTAAAAACATGGGGCAGGATGAAATCAGAAGAGAGAATAGAGAGACATGGGCAGCAGAGCCGAGGATACAGCCCTGAAGTACACCATTATTTAGAAATGGTAGAGAAGGAAAAACCAATACAGGAGACTAGGAAAGAGCAGCCAGTGAAGTAAAAGGAAAATCTGGAAGCATGGTGTCACAGAAGCCCAAGAAATGAAGTTATTTCAAAAATAAGCTAATCATCCCAAATGCTAAAAGGTAGGTAAGGTGAAGATACAGAACTAAACTTTGGCCTTGACAAATATAGACAACTGGTGACCTTGAACAGAGCTCTCAGATGAGTGATATAGACAAATGCCTTATTAGAGTGCGCTGACAAGAGAATGAGAGATGATGAAGATGAGACAAGTATAGACAACTATCAGAGACTTTGTAGAAAAAGAGAAACTGAGAAATGATGTAGCTAGCTGAAAGAATGATGCAGTGGTTGGTTCTGCATGACCTTTTCACATGCAGTCATTAATACTGTTAGAGACAGGAAAACGTGTTGTAGAAGATAAAGGAAATGATTACAAGTGTAAAGTCCTGGAGAAGATATAAAGGGATGAGATCTAAAGCATAAATGAAGGCAGCAGTCTTAGATGAGAAACCCTCCATTTTAACAGGAGAAAAAGCAGTCTATGCAGACACAATTGAAGGCAGATTGGTGGATTTGGAAGTAGGAAGAGGAGCTACTTTTCTCCTAAATGCATCTATTTTCTCAATTAAGTATAAGGCAATATCATCAGTTGAGCGTCACTATGGAGGGTATAGTGAAATTTGAAGAGAGAAGAGTAGATGTGAAGCAATCAACTCATGAGATTTGTGGCCTTAAACATGAAGTGAGTCTACTCATTATGGCTATATGATTTTCTCCAACAACCAATCATTCATCATACAAATAATCATCTCTCTCCCAAGTCACAGAAATTGCAGTCATTTCCTCCCTCAACATTATATTTATCTTCTTGTTAGTTGAGAGGATATAATATTAAGCAGGAAATTCTAAAGCAAGCCATTAAGAATACCATATCTGGTACAACTTGGCACTACTTTGAACTTACCCCATCCTCCCGTAGGCTTTGCTGTACTTTGAATCGATTGCTATTGCTTTTTCACAATCCTTTATTGCATCCGTGTAGTGACCTAATTTACTCTGAGCAGCAGCCCTAAGAGAAAAAGAAGAGGTTTTTATTATAAGCAGCCTTCAAGGCACTAATTTAGATTTTTAGATTCTAATAAAACTATATTTTCCTTGTCCCAATCTGTATATCACTTCCAGTAAACACCTAAATCAAGCTAAGATAATTCTATAATTAAATGAAAAGAAAACTTGGAAACAAAATTCAGAGAAAATATGCAGGTTGCCTTTCACTGTTTGCTTTGCTATAGAAAAGACAAATACATGAGTCATACTACTGATCTGCATATTTATTGCCTTTTTAATTTGGCCAAACTGAACACTGAAAACACTAGGGATTACTAGGGAGGCATACAGAGTGAATGCTTGCTGTGATTGGCTACTCAGAGTGTTGTGCTGTTATATGATCACTTTACTAGTACGGTTAAGATCATCTAGCAAGTGTAAGTTGAAAAATACTATTTAACTGTGTGCCTAAATCTGGCTGTAAATTAAAGATGGCAATGTATTCCATATACTTAGCATAGATTCCCAGAGCAATTAAAGAATATTTAATCCCTTCCAGGTGACCTCTAAGAAAACTTCCTGGAATAACTGGGACCTGACAGTATAGTGAAGCCATTTACTAACCTTCCACACAATCCTGAGAGTAGATAACTCTGTTTCCCTATAGTAATGCTAGCTTCAACCCTCAAGGCCATAGTAGATAAGTAGAATTTCTGTTCAACACATAATTCCTTCAAACCGACAAGTCCTAAAGTGTCTCCTGCCCCGCATCTCACTACCACTCTATTCTTTCTTCTACAGACTAAATATTTCTACTTTATTCATCCATCTAATATATCTTTTAAGGGCTAGCTAAAGCTTTTCTTGGCATAATAATTGGAGCAGTAATCAAAATCATATTTCTGGCCTCAATTGTGCTTAGATTCCTGGGGGCAGGGGTTGTAGAAAGCTGGCAGGCTATAAAGAAAGGTGGTGATGAGTCCAGTTTTCTGTCAACCTTTCTTCTCAGCATGACTGAGATTGTTACTTCCAAATTAAGATTACAAAATTTGAATAAAATAAAGAGTCTTCTTTGCTTCTGTTTAAAAAAAATTAATGTGAAAGTATAGGATTCAACAAACCTCTTTTGGTAGTTCATGTGAAAAAGAGGTATGGATTTATTTGAATACTCAATACAAACTAACGGTATGACAAAGATGACCATTAAAAGAAGAGATATAGAATGTATCACTTCCAAATAATTAGAAAGAAAAAAATGAAATAAAAATAACTCAATCAATACAATAAAAGGCCGACAGAGAAAGAGAGAGAAAGAGAGGGGGAACAGGAAGGAAAGAAGTCAAAAAAGTAACAGCAGAAAACAATTCAAGTATACAAGTAATCACAAAGTTGCCTAGATAAAAATCAGATTCTCAAGTTGTATACAAAAGATATTACTTAAAATACAATCAACACACAGGCTGGAGTTTAAAGGGCTAGGAAAAAAAAAAAAAAACAATCTGGCAAACTAAAAACCAAGCAAAAGAAAGCTGGTATAGAAACATTAATATCAGATGTAAGTCAAAGAGCATTATTAATGATAGAGAGTCATTATTTATTGATCATCCTTTTTAATTTAATTTTCAGGAAAATATTTACACGGCTCAGAAGTCAAACCTATATTAAAAGTCTCATCCTATATAAGATTGGTGGGAATGGAGTAGACTTCAAAAAGGATGAAAAAGCAAACTTTCAAACTGAAGAACACAGAAACAAATGATCCTGTCTATCAAAAAGAAAGAATTCAAGTTATTTTCAAGCACAATGTTCTGAGTATATATCCTGAATGAGATGAATTCTAAGGACAAAAATGTGCTAAGAAATTCTGAAGTTTGCTTAGCAGACTTACTAGTGTTGTAATATTGGTGTTTTAATACCTACTGAGGGATGTCGAAGGATAGAGCTAATGAGTGAATATACTAGTGGTGTTGGAAAGCAAGGTTTTTGCTCTAGGCGAGAAAAGATACAAATGTAAAATGGGGGAAGTAAGGGAAATCTCTGTGACAGTGGAATGTGAATTGAAGGTATCTGTATAAATTGATGACTTTTCAAAACACTCTATTTCCTAGCTCTGTCCACTGAAAAGACCTAGAAGCAAAACACTTCAGTACCAATGATCATCTCATGCAACTAGATCTTGGTTTCTAAATACCATTCTCAATTAAAAAAAAAATAGGGGATCTTTGTAGAAATAGCTGAGCCCACATCTAAGGCAAAAAAGTACAAAGCAAATCTGGGATATTTTGTTGTCTTAGAAAGCAAGACTGTTCAAAACCAAATGAAGTTATATTAAAGCACATACAGCCAGTTTAAAGGAGCTCCCACTAGCCAACTATGAAATAATTTAAGTATGAAAATTATATAGTAATTTATTATAACACATTGACTAGTGATTTTTTTTTTTAATTCATGAGTCCGTAATTATACTCGAAAAAGTTGGGTGAGAGGGAAGGAGTAGGAAAGCGGAAAAGGAGAGAAAGCTCTTCTTTACAGAAATAGATGAGGAAATATATGTAAAGGAAATGGCAAGATTAAAAAATCATTTTGTAACCATCAATGTATTCAGGGAAAGATCATGAACAGATGATAAAACATTGAATATAAGATTGCTGGTAAACAGGATATTCACATGATCCGATCCCACAGATTATTTTTAATTACAAGAGGAATAATAGAAATGGTGATCACCACCCTAAGATATCAAACTTAGAAACACCATTAATGGGACAGCCTGAAAATATGTGCCTCTTAATATAATGCAATTTATGGTACACATAATCATTTATAAAGGTTTTATACCAAAATTTAACCTAAATTTAATCATGTGGAAGTAACACACAGATCTAGAATACAGCACATTCTATAAGATCATTGGCCTGAACTCTTCAAAAAAGTCTATGGCATGAAAAACAATCAATCATAAAAGGCAGAGATATTTTCTAGATGAAAAGGGACTAAAATGACATAGCAACATGCAATTCATGAACGTTGACTGGATTCTGGACCAAAGATAGCTATTGAAGCTGGAGAACTTCCCATATTAATGCTAATTTTACAATTGACTGGATTCTGGACCAAAGATAGCTATTGAAGGTATTTGGGGGATAGCTGGAGAACTTCCCATATTAATGCTAATTTTACATGTGAATGATATGATAGTTATGTGGAGTATGTCCTTATTCTTAGGAGATATAACTTCAATAATTAGGGTCAGCAAGAAAATTACAATTACCCACACACAAACATACACACACACATACACACATACATACACACACCCATTGAGAGACAGAGAAAAAGAGATAAGGAAAATAAACATGACAGAATGTTAATTACTATTGACTCTAGGGTACATGTATATGGGTCTTCATTGTATTGCTCTTTCAGTAAGTTTAAATAGGTTTTAAATAAATTAAATATATACCTATATAACATGCCCCCATGTGACTGCTTCACCATTTGAAGTCTTAAATTGAGGCAATTCTCCCTCTAAAATTCACTGAATCAATTCAACGCAAACTTCTGTTGAACACCTATAATGTGCTAAACCCTGAACTCAAAACCAAATATACAGAGATGAGAAAATATATCTCTGCCTTCCAATCTTTCATTGTCTAATAGGGAAATAGATATGTAAATAAATAAACAGTATGATAAGTACAATAGCAGTATCAAAGGAAGAGACAACATAGAAAAGTTTGGTTAACCCTATGCAGAGTTGTCTAATAGAACTTTCTGTGATAGGAAAGTTCTTTATTTGTGCTATCCAATACAATAGCCCCTAGCCACATGTGACTAAAGAGTACTTGAAATAAGCTAGTGCAACTGAGGTACTGAATTGTTTATTTTATTAATTTTAATTTACATTTAAACAGCCACATGTGGCTAGGGGCTACCCATATTGGGCAGCACCACTCCATAGGACATGACTAGGAAGGGTGGAAGGGCATAGCGGTTGAAGAGAGAAGAAATGAAGAAAGTCTTCCTAAGAGAAACAACACCTAACAGGATCTTGAAGGATGACTAGCAATTAGATAAGGTAGAAATATTCTAGGCAGAGGAAAGAGTACATAAAAGCATGCAGAGATGTCTCTGCATGGTATTTTTAAGAAGTCAGTGAATTTCACATTACATATGCATAGAGAGTAGAGAAAAGAGAAATGAGGTAGGAAAAAAAGTAAAGATAATAAAGTAAAAGAAAAGAAAGAGCCTAAATTATAAAAGAGCTTATGTATCATACTGAGGTGCTTAAATTCAATCATGTAGGTATCTGGAACTAGAGAAGAAAGCAAGAGTAAGATGATTAATTTCATACTTTAGAAAGATCCTTTTGGCAGAAGACGAGTGGGAGTAAAAATAGAAAAAAGAAGCCATTAGTTTAGCAAAAGTTAAGAACCTGGACTAAGGGAGTCATGATGGAAAAGGAAGAGGGAACAAATGAGCTATTTTGAAGGTATATGGAAAAGGAAACAGAGGAAGATGCCCTGGCTTCAGATACTGATAATAAAACAAGGAATAAAGCAGGGAGACTCAGACCCAGAGAGAAGAGTGGGCAGAAGGGAAGAGAATGACTGTTTCAATCTTGATAGTTTTAGCTTTAGATCACAAACTTTGAGCTAGGATAGAAGCTTATTTGTGTGGCTCATAAAAGAAAGAGGAGAGGGACTGAACCTCTGAGGCCAGGAAAGGGAAGAGAAGTCAGGCTACATTTGAATTTCTTGTGAGATGAAGCCAAACTTTCCAATGTCTGAACTGAATAACAATGTGGTCTGCTCTCTGCCCCTGCTGTCTGGTTATCAGGGCAGAACTAATGAAATTCCAGTAGAACAATAGAGTTAAAAGTCACCATGTTTTCAGACAACTTCTTGCTTTCTTCAGCTTGTTGGAGCAAGAGCATGAATATTAAATATAGAAAATAAGGCAGAAAAAAAATCACAGGTACCTTACATTTCCCATGCTATATATATTATGCATAAATAAATT